TCATCCCCCAGCTCTGAGAAACACTGCAGAAACTTCACTTCCAGAGAACTTCAGCTGTTTCCTCATAACTTGTTCAGCAATACTGTTAAAAAACATGTGATTCAGGTGACTTCTTTCTGTACATTTTTACCAAGTGCTCAGTTCAGACAGAGAGCCCTAAAATAGGAGCTTTCCTGTACAGTGGCTGATTTTGGACATTCATTTTAAGTCCACAGCAAAAGTCTTCAGTCTTACTTTGCATGTTGTATTTTTCACCTCATGAACAAGTTCTGTCAACTGGTAATACTGGTGATTTTGTCAAGGAAAAAAAAAACCAGCACCTCACCTTGTTCATTATCTCAGCATTTTGCTTGGCTAAGACCATGGGCAAGGAGTCTGTCACACTGGTAAATTTGATTTTGTCTGCAGGTTGACGGTACTTCCTGTCACTCAGGATTTCTCCAGCTCTCTTGGCCTTCTCCACTTCCAAGGAACCAATAGGAACCCAGCCAATACCTCGTAGCCACTCCAGGTCTGATTTGTAAACAGCCTGAAAGGATTTGAAAGCCCGTTATACAGGTGCAAATGGGATTCAAAGTTAAAATAACTATAAATAAGCACATCTGAGTCTCTATGAACAACTGTGTGTGTTTCTGCCTGGTAGCAGGATATGCTTTTGAAAACACTTGTTATTTGTGAAGATGAAGTAAAATAATGATTAAATAACAGAAAGAATGGAGTTACTGGAGCACACCACAAATTACACCTCAGGTTAAGGACTGAGGAAATACAATTAAACAGAAATGGGATGCTGTAATGAACATTTCACCTCCACCAACAAATCTAATGAAGTGACTCAGGCGTATAACGTATATTTGAAAAATTAAGAGTGTAGAAGACCCTGTATCTTGAATTATGATTCCAAAGGTAAGGGTTTGCTCACATCACTCTGCAGGTCATAGGCTTGCCTGGCGTGGATCACGTCGTTCTGGTCGGGCAGGCAGATCCACTGGTGCAGGTAGTGCCGGTAGTCGATGTCGCTCACCAACACTTGGCATTTCTTGGCCAGCACCACCCCCAGCATGTCCACAGGGCTGCTGAAGTGTGTCTTGGTCTTCTCAAAGTCCTTCTTGTACTCCCTGTCACTCTGGATCTTGGCCACGTGCATCGACCACATCATCTTGGGGTCGTCCTCGATGTTGCGGGCCCCGATGTGGTGGCCCAGCTGCTTCCGATACCCCTCCTTGTACTTGTACTGAAATGCAAAACAAAAATGTATCTATTAATTTTTAACACAAGCTATTTAAATACAAATCTCGATAGAAAAACAAGGAGCGTAAGAATCTGTTATCCTCTGTCTCTGATGTTGCCTCATCCTCAATGCAAAACCCGTCCTAGTCACTGTGTATTTTTTTTTTCCTGGTTCTGTACTCAGACATTTTGAATTTCAATGTGACACTTTCACAGAACACATTTTTCCTCTGGAAAACACAAGCATTGAAACTTTTAGAATTGATCAGTATGTCTGTTTTGGGGAGAGATTTTAAAGTATTTCCTATTCTGAATCAGAAATTACCTTGACTACCTCTAGCACAGACATAATTTTGATTATCTTACTTAAACATCCAAGGACATCAACAGAACTATGACAGGGGACATGCAAATAATCCTCACATTTTCCTGTTGATCACTACAGTGACTTAAATCTCATGCATAAAATACTGGCTACTCCTTCTTTGCAGGCACTGAATAGAATGTGGTAGAATCCCTATGAAAACAGACTTCCATATTGGTCATTCTACAAAGTCTGACATTAACAGACAATGGAACAAACATTCCATTCCTTTCCCATTCCCAAATCCACATGGAAACAACAAAACCTGCTTACATCACTGGCAATCTCTCTGGAGGCTTTGGCAGATTGGATGGGAATGGCATCAAAACGCAGATCGTAGCCCTTCTTCTTCGATTCCTCCAAGGCCAGTTTGTACATTTTCTGTGAGAAAACCCCCCACATTTTAGTTTCTTAAGCAAAGTTATGCTACAGTTAAGCACAACTCTGTAATAAAACAAATAAAGTCCCTAAACAATAACTGTCAATCTTCAGGCAACTTCGATATTGTTCTCTAGAAAATAAAAAACCTGCAGATTTCAAAAGACCTTGTAATTATATTGTGGACATTTGGAAAATGGAAAGCATGTAGGGATGGCAAAGAAAGGAACATTTAAAAAGTTAAGGTATGTATTTTCACAACTTGCTATAGAAATGATTTCTGATTTATGGTGGATAGTATCTTCTAAAAGCCCAATTAGATACCCAGGAGATAAATTCCAGTGAAAGAAGAAATCTGATTTCAGCACTGGAACCGGCAGTTTCTGAAACTGAACAACTTGGCAGTATTGTTCTACTATTGATTAAAAGTCAGAGATGACAAGATTGTTCTTGCCAGGAGCCCTTTGTCTCCCTCCCCAGTTTCCCTCACCTCACTGTAGTTGACTCGGTTTTGTTTGGCCAGCAGGATTTCTGGGGTGTCAGGCATGACGTGAATCGAGGTCTTGTCTTTGTTCCAGGCTTCGGTGTATAAACGCTGAGGAATGAAACAGGGAGAGATTAATATGGCATTCCAAACTGGCTCCTACCCCAGGAATCAAGGAAAAACACAGAGCATATTAATTAAAATTATAGCAACCTCTCTAGTGGAAGGTGTCCCTGCCATGGCAGAGGGTTGGAACTAAATGATCTTTAGGGTCCATTCTAACCGAATTATTCTGTGATACTCTGAAATACAGCAGGGATACACAGTTCTGTGTTTAGCCAGGTACAGATAACATTAACTAAAGGAGAATTTATGTGAGGCAATTTACCAACCCTTGGGAAACTGCCACATTGCTTCAGAATGGTGACTAAACAAAAGCATTATTAGTGCCCACTGCACACACAGCTCAGGGAAAAGGGCAAGTATAATTTGCAGAATCTCACGGGAAGTCGAGTCTCCCATGACTTGGCCTGAGAGCTCTGAGTGAAACAACCAGAGCCAGTGTTTGTAAATGCATCGCCTGTGAGTGCAGCACTGCTTGGGCTCAGTGCAGTTCCAGCCCTGTCCCTGGGGTTCAGGCACAGGCTGCTGATGTGGCGCTGATCCAGCCAGCACTCACCTTGTTCATGGTGTCCGCGTTCTGCTTGGCCAGCACCATGGGCAGGGAGTCTGGGATGCTGGTGAACTTGATGGTGTCCGGGTGCTGGCGGTAGATTTTGTCACTCAGGATCTCCCCAGCCTTCTTGGCCTTCTCCACTTCCAGGGAACCAATGGGGACCCAACCAACACCCCGCAGCCACTCCAGGTCTGATTTGTAAACAGCCTGAAAGGATTTGAAAGCCCATTATACAGGTGCAAGTG